CTCTACCACTTGAGCTACAGCGCCACTTCCGGTTTTCTGGTGGTTTATTGGAGATAGGAGTTTCACGGTCTCTCCTGCCCGGGCTGGCTTTGAACCGAGATCCTCAGATCTCAGCCTCCTGAGTAGCTAGGATTACAGGCGTGAGCCACCAGCACCCGGCTTCCCCCCCTTTTTTTTTTTTAAATTTAATTTTATTTTATTTGTGAACATACTGTACAGAGGGGTTACAATTACATGGGCAGGATAATGCATACATTTCTACCCCCCCCCCTTTTTTTTTTTAGTCTGTCCTGGGGCTTGAACTCTGAGTCTGGACGCTGCCCCTGAGTTCTTCAGCACTCTACCGCTTGAGCTACAGTGCCACTTCCGGTTTTCTCACAGACATTCCTGCTGGGGCTGGCTTTTAACTATGATCCTCAGATCTCAGCCTCCTGAATAGCTAGGATTACAGGTGTGAACCACCACCGCCCAGCTCCACATGCAGGTTTTTTTTTTTTTTTTTTGCCGGTCATGGGGCCTGAACTCTGAGTCTGGGTGCTGTCCCTCAGCTCTTTAGCTCAAGGCTAGTGCTCTTACCACTGGAGCCACAGCGCCACTTCCAGCTTTTTCTGCTTATGTGGTGCTGAGGAATCGAACCCAGGGCCTCATGTATGCACTCTACCGCTGAGCCACCTTCCCAGTCCACATACACTTTTAAGTTGTCTTTTCCTAGTTACCAGTGAGGTTGAGGCTTGTATTTACTTAGGGCTTATTGCCTATTTGCCTACATATCTTTCTGTCTACGTGTCTCTGTCTGTCTATCTGTCTATTATTGCAGACAGAATCCATGGCCTCAAGTATGCTATGTTCAGGAGTTCTAACACTGAGCTAAATATACCCCCTCCCTTAGATTACTGCTCTTTATTTTGAGACATTCTTTTTCCTTTTGGCTGTCCTGCAGCTCTGATTTTCTGGAGTATAATCCAGAGAAGGTGATAGGAAGATTCATCTGCTCCTGGTATCTGATTATTCTTTATTTCTTTTGCAGAAAATGGTTTCTGGAGAAGTTAAAGCCTGAAGGTATTTTCCCTGTTATTTTTCCCTCGGATCTGTTGGAACTGAGAATCTTGGGGGTAGTTTTAAAAACAGAAAGGTCTACCAGAAATTAAAAGTCCTGGCTCCATCCTCAACCATTGGGCCTCCCTTTACCTTCCCTGTCTGAAACCTGGAGCTCACCTTTCCTTATATTCCAGAGAGCACTGAGATAGGGAGAAGGTGAGGGATGGGTGGTGAAGCTGTGAATTGCTAATTGTGGCTCTCAAGAGGGACTTGACCTGCTGATCACTGATGGCTCACACCTCTAATCCTAGCTACTCAGGAGACTTGAGACCTGGGGATTGAGGTTCAAAGCCAGCCTAGCCAGGAAAGTCCAGGAGACTGTTAGCGCCAATTAATCACAGAAAATTAATTACAGCTGCATACTTCCAGCTGTCTCTCAAGTGGTAGAGTGCTAGCTTTGAGCAAAAGGAGTTTAAGGACAGCACCCAGACCCAACGTACAAAACCCAGAACCAGCAAAAAAAAAGAGAGAGAGAGAGACTTGTCCCTAGTGATACCTGTGGGCCCTGTGTCAGCCAGGGCCTTGCCTGATCTGCAGGGAGTGTTGTGTGGGACAGTCCTTCTCAGATCTGGATAGTTTATACCCTACCACCTACATGGTTATGCCAGTGTTCCCTTTTTAGGTGCTTTAAAAGTAGGTACTTTTTAAGCCAGGAGTGGTGGCATTCTTCTGTAACCCAAGAACTCAGCAGGCAGGAGTTTGAGGCCTACAACAGTGAATTCAAACCCAGCATTCACTACATAGCCATACTTTGTCTCAAAAAGCCAAGGGTTGGGCAGTAGCTCAGTTGTAGAACACTTACCTAGCATGCATGAGACTCTGAAATCCAGCCCCAAACATGCACAGTAGTAGAAAAGAATAATAGCCATAAATATGTGTCATTTTTGTCATTTAAAAAGCTAGCCATGGCTGGGCTCTGGTGGGTTACACCTGTAATCCTAGCTACTCAGGAGGCTGAGATCTGAGGATTGGGATTCAAAGCCAGCCCAGGAAGGAAAGTCTATGAGACTCTTTTATCTCCAATTAAGCACCAGGAAACTAGAAGTGATGCTGTGGCTCAAAGTGGCAGAACACTAGCCTTGAGCACAAAGAGGCTCAAGGACAGTTCCCAGGACCTGAGTTCAAGCCCCACAACCAACCAAAAAAAAAAAAAAAGCTAGCCACTGGTGGCGCACACCTATAATACTAGCTACTGAAGAAGCTGGGATCCAGCTGTTGCAGTCCAAAGAAGAAAGGTCTATGAGAGCCTGTCTCCAAAATAACCAGCAAAAAATTAAGCTGCCTCAGATGATTGAGTACCAGCCATGCAAACCAGCATTGGAGAGGCTCAGGCAGGAGTCTTGCGTGTCAAATCTAACCTGCCTTGGTTGCATAGAAAAAAGTGAGCAGGCCGGGCACTGGTGGCTCATCCCTGTAATCCTAGCTACTCAGGAAGCTGAGATCTGAGGAGTATGGTTCAAAGCCAGCCCAGGAAAGAAAGTCCGTGAAACTCTGATCTCCAGTAAACCACCAGAAATCTGGAAGTGGCGCTGTGGCTCAAGTGGTAGAGTGCTAACTTTGAGCTGAGGAGCTCAGGGACAGCGTCCAGGCCCAAAGTTCAAGCCCCATGACCAAAACAAAACAAAAGCAAATCCTAAACATGTCTGTTTGGTTTTTCAGTCTGTATCTGTGAAAGTTGAAAGTTTTTGCAAAGGTTAACCAATCAAAATTATGTGTATATGAAATTATTTGTAAGTGTAAAATGTGTGTGTATGTGTGTTTGGTGCTTCAGACTGAACCTAGAGCCTTAAGCATGCTAAATAAACACTTACCACTGAGCAGTACCCTCAACTATTTTCTCAATATTATGTAATTATTTGGGGATGGGATTTCTTATTTGTAGCAAAAATGCTGCCTTATAGTTGGGAACCAGCAAGGTCCATATTGCATTGATTCACACTTTTTTTTGGTCAGTCATGGGGCTTGAACTCTGGGCCTGGACGCTGTCCCTCAGCTCTTCAGCTTAAGGCTAGTGCTCTACCACTTGAGCTACAGCACCACTTTTGGTTTTCTGTTGGTTTATTGGAGAAAAGAGTCTCATGGACTTTCCTGCCTAGGCTGGCTTTGAACTGCATTCCTCAGATCTCAGCCTCCTGAGTAGCTAGGATTACACATGTGAGCCACCAGCGCCTGATTCCCCACTAGATTCTTTTTATGTTCCCATGACCTACTTAATTCACTCTGTGACTTAGAGTTATTAGAGTTATTATCAAATGCTTTATGAGATTTCAGGAAAACTAGATCATTCAAAGTTTTTTTTTTTTTTCGGGTCCTGTGGTGGGGCCTGAACTCTGGGCCTGGTCGCTGCTCTCCAGCTCAAGGCTAGCGCTCTACCACTTGAGCCACAGCACCACTTCCGGCTTTTTTCTTTTTGCTTATGTGGTGCTGAGGAATCGAACCCAGGGCCTCATGTATGTAAGGCAAGAGCTCTACCACTGAGCCACCTTCCCATCCCTCACTCAAACTTTTGAAAGAAATTAGAGAACACATCAATAAATGGAAAGATATCTCTGGTTTTCTGAGTTACTTATAGGAGTCTTATGGACTTTCCTTCCCGAGCTGGCTTTGAACCGTAATCCTCAGATCTTGGCCTCCAGAGTATCTAGGATTATAGGCGTGAGTCACCAGTGCCCGACTCACACATTGTTGTTGTTGTTTTACAAAACCTTATGCCAGCTAGCAGATAACCAGTTTTGGATTTCAAGCAGGCCCTGATCTCTGCTCTCTCATGAAGGGCCTTTTGCCTTTTGGGAGGGGGAGAGGGAGGGGTGGGACTGAGCAGCATGGAGATACTGAGACTTTTCTGTACTTGTGCACAGGTCTCCACCAGCTTCTTGCTGGCTTTGAGGACAAATCAGCCTATGCACTCTGCACCTTCGCTCTGAGCACCGGGGACCCAACTGAGCCTGTGCGTTTGTTCAGGGGCCGGACCTCCGTGAGTACCCACTAGGATGCAGTTCTCCTTTGTTGCACCAGGTGGCGTAGTGCCCTAATGCCGAAGATCTGTAGGACAATGCCAAAAGGGCACTCCAGGGACAATTAATTATCAGGGCCTTGCTGGGTGGCATTCCTGGGTACCACAGTTAAAAGCCTTGTCGATCCCTAAACTTAGTTGACCCCTGAGGCCTCTAGGTCAGCTTCTGAGGTCTGATATGCCCAGTTCTCTCCACTCAGGGTCTCAGTAAGAAGAGAATGTTCAAACTTAAGGTAATTGCCTGAGAGCTACATCTGTTGCTCAGATGTTGCTCCAAAATCTCCTTATCCATCTGCCAGGGTGCAGCTTCTCTCAGCTGTCCTCCACCTTTCCACAGATTTTTAGTCTTCTTTGTTGATGCTGGAGAGAGAACCCAAGGCTTTGCCTATGTTAAGCAACGACTCGACCACTGAACTACCTTCCCAGCCTAGAATTTTTATCTGTCACTTGAGTTCATTCCTTCTTTGGTTGCTATTCAACACCTCCACACTTACCTATCAGAACCCTAAATATAGCTACTTTTCTCTTGGTCCAGTCCTCCCTTCTAGGTACTCAGCACCCTCATCCTTCTGTTTGTCTCTTTGTGACAGGCCACTTAACTGCCAAATCCCTCTGCCAGGTTAAAATCTAGATGTACCCTGGGACTGTCCACAGATACTTCATTTTACTATGCCTGGTTATTTTTTTTTTTTTGTAAAGATGCCTGGTTATTTTTATGGTAGTAAAATAACATAACATGAAATACAACTTCTTTTTTTTTTCCCAGTCATGGGGCTTGAACTCTGGGCCTGGGTGCTGTCCTTCAGCTCTTCAGCTCAAGGCTAGTGCTCTACCTCTTGAGCCACAGCGCTACTTCCAGTTTTCTGGTGGTTTATTGGAGATAAGAGTCTCCTGGACTTTCCTGCCTGGGCTGGCTTTGAACTGTAATCCTCAGATCTCAACTTCCTGAGTAGCTAGGATTACACGTGTGAGCCACTGGCGCCTGGCTTGAAATACAACTTCTAAAAGTACAATACATCAGTGTTAAGCATATTTACACTGCTGTATAATAGATCCCAATCACATTTAAGGCCAAAGAGTATTTCGTTGTGTGAATAGTCCATATTCTCTGTGTGGATTTATCTGTCATTAACCTTTAGGTTGCTTCCACCTCTGGGCTATTGTGATAGTGCTGGGTGACATGGGAATACAGCCATCTCAACATCCTGTTTTCAGTTCTTTAGGATAAGCACCCAGAAACAGGTTGCTGGGTCACTGCTTGGTTAAATTGTTAAAAATGAGCAGTGGTTGCTATTGCTTTTCCAGAAACTTCCACTTAGCCACAGGCCTCACTGCCTGCAGGGACTGAAGAGCAACTGATCCGTTGTCAGCCTGCATCACTGTAGTCCCTGCCATTCCCTGTTTTCAATTTTGTCTGCCTTATGGGCTTTGTTACTTGCCAGTCCTGATTTTCCCTGAGGTGGCCTTATTCATTCATCTTGTTGTGTTTTCACCAGTACTCATTCTCATTGACAGGCTGGATGCGCCTTGTCCATAGGAGCACATTAGCCAGCTTGTCCTTTTAGCGAGAGATGCCAAGCTCCACTCCATTCCAGGACCCTTGTCCCAGTGACACATGTTAGTTATTGGGGCTGGGAAGGTGGCTCAGTGGTAGAGCGCTAGCCTTGCATGCATGAGGCCCTGGGTTCGATTCCTCAGCACCACATAAGCAGAAAAAAGCTGGAAGTGGCGCTGTGGCTCAAGTGGTAGGAGGCTAGCCTTGAGCCAAAGAGCTGAGGGACAGTGCTCAGACCTAGAGTTCAGCCCCCACGACCAAAAAAAAAAAAAGATAGTAAAGACTGATTTCTGTTCTGGTGTTCAACACCTTGTTGGGCTGTTGTAAGGCACTTTGCATTTGGTAATAGTTCATATACTCCTTATTTGACGTGTACCAGCAGGGAAGGCTATCTTGTGATTTCAGTGCTAAGGCCACTGCAGGCGCAGTGTAGGTACTCAGAAAACTTGTCACTTTAGTGACACTGAGTGGTCCTGTAATTGACTGTGGTCACATAGCTCCCTACTAACAGGAGACTTTTCCTTTGGCTCTGCATGACTTGATAATTAGGTGAAAATCCCCATCCTGGCATTCTGGTGATTGAAACCTGGATTTTTTTGCATGCTATCCTAATTATTTATTGTTTGTTGGTGGTATGGGGTTTTGAACCCAAGACCTTGCATGTGCTAGACAAGTGCTCTACCACTTAGTTCCCAGCCATTTCCCTGGGATTTTTGAAAATGCTATGCGCACTGGGTGCCAGTGGCTCATGCCTGTAATCCTAGCTACTCAGGAGGCTGAGATCTGGGGATTGTGGTTCAAAGCCAGTCCAGGCAGGAAAGGCTATGAAACTTATCTCCAGTAAACCACCAGAAAACTGGAAGTGGCGCTGTGGCTCAAGTGGTAGAGTGCTAACCTTGAGCTGAAGAGCTGAGGGACAACTCTCAGGCCCAGAGTTCAAGCCCCATGACTAACAAAGAAAATGCTATACACATAGAGGCTATCCTCAGAATTCAGAGCCCTTAACTTCCTATTAAGAACACATGTTTTCTCCCAATTTTTCAAACTAAAGAGGGAGAGTGGGCCCAGAGGTGTTGGTGGACCAGTCAGATTCACAGTAGTTCCTGTGCCTTTGCTCTGTATTTTATGTAGGCATTATCAAACATGGACCCTTTGAACTGCAGTTGAGTATTTAATCAAATTCCCAAATAGCCAAATTCAAACTGTCCTCTGAGTGCATCTCCAGTCATACCTGTCCTGTTTCCTGTGACAGGGACGAATTGTTGTGCCCCGAGGCTGCCGGGACTTTGGCTGGGACCCATGCTTTCAGCCTGATGGATATGAGCAAACGTAAGGAGCTCTAATTCCCTCCCTGGGGTGTGGGCTTGGGTGGGCACCCTGTACAGGTGCAGGCACGCGGATATGGGTGGGGCAGGCTCTGGAGAGTGCCATTCCAGCTCAAAGCAGCTCTGCGGGTATGGACTCAAGGAATCCAGGTGGCCCAGCCCACACACACTAGACCAGGGTTGATCAGGTGTCCTGGGCTCTGTCTGCACTCACCCCAGAGCAGCTGTGTGACCAGTGCTTCTTTCTCTGGCCTTAGCCTACCAAGAGATTTAAACCTGAGAGTTTTGTAGGATTCTTGCGTGCCCTTATTTGGATTGGGAAAAATGTTCTGACTTGCAGTCTCTTGGAATCGTGAAACCCCATGGTGCTGCATGTTCTCCAAGTTTCCTACCTTTGTGTATGTGACACATATTTGTTCTTATTAGATTTGGGCTTTCCAGGCTGGAGGCCCCAGGGTGTATGGCCAGAGGCCTCAACAATAGCTACACAAGGCTGAAGGAAGACATAGTAAAGCAGCATTGTCCAAGAATGCTCTTGGATGACAAGTGTCTGTACTGTGGTTGCTTGGCCATTAGGCACATACAACCCAGTGGAGTGCTTGCAATGTATTCAGAGGGACTGAGTTTCTTCTACTTGTGGCTAGTGGCTACTATATTGGATAGCAAAGGTCTAGAGCCCAGAGACGGGTGTGGCTTCTCACCTCACTGGAGTTTTCTCACAGAAGATGGGCTGCTGGCAGTCGCCAGGCCTCCCCACCCCCAGTGCTGTATTTACTTTGTCAGGTCCACTGCTTCTTGTCAACAGATGACAAAGCTGATCAAATATGCAGCTCATCCCTGTCCCCAGCGTCCTTTAACGACTTTTGGACACACTAGAGCAAATTTTAATATCCTTTCATGATTATTAATAAGGGCTTTTACCTACATAGGAACTTAAAATTATCCAGTTAAATTGAACAGTCTATAGGTAGCTGGGGATTCCCTGCCCTGCTTCCTCAGGGCTCCTTGAGTTTGGGGCTCCTGGGGTGAGTTTCTGGTTATGTCTTTCTGGGATCTGGTTTCTCTGTCCTCTGAACTGCTACTTTGCCTCCTTAGGTATGCAGAAATGCCCAAGGCTGAGAAGAATACCATCTCCCATCGATTCCGGGCCCTGCTGGAGCTACAGGAATACTTTGGCAGTGTGACTCCTGGACCTAAAGGTGATCACTTGGGCCCAGGATCTGGAGCAAGCTAGCCAGAAACCTCCCCATCCTAGAGGCACCCTTCTAAGGATGCCCAGCAGGAGTGCCCTTTGCTAGCTGTGCTGGGCAGCCTCACCATTCCAGAATGGAAGAGCAGCTGGCTCTGCTTTGAGAAGCTCTGGGCAAGTTGAAGCCTGACTCTTGCCCCAGGAATTCAGTGATTGCTCCTGTAGCCTCTGGGCCTGAGATCCCGACAGGACCTTAGGTGTTTAAAAGCAACCTTGGCAGGATTGAATGTGTGGGTAAGAACCTTACAGACATCCTTTGATGCTTTGAAAATGCAGTAAATGGAAATGTGAAAGGCATTTGTTTCCAAAATAAAATTTGCTTTGAGCCCTGCTCCGGGCTGATGTCTGAGTCCCCTTTGGCAGGTACAGGAAGCCTTATGGGTGGGGGTGGCAGAAGGGCAATGCTGTTGCCAAGTATTAATCTGCCATTGCTAGCTAGTGTTACATCTTCTCCATTTTTGCTTTTTTCTCATCCTCGTGTGTGTGTGTGTGTGTGTGTGTGTGTGTGTGTGCGTGTGCGTGCGCGCACGCACGTAAGTTTTGGAGCTTGAACTTGAGGCCTCTTGCTGAGCTTTTTTTTTTGTCGGTCGTGGGGCCTGAACTCTGGGCCTGGACGCTGTTCCTCAGCTCTTCAGCTCAAGGCTAGCGCTCTACCACTTGAGTTCACAGTATCACTTCCATTTTTTCTGCTTATGTGGTGCTGAGGAATTGAACCCAGGGCCTCATACATGAAAGGCAAGCACTCTACCACTGAGCCACCTTCCCAGCCCTTGCTCAGCTTTTTTTGCTCACAGCTGGTGCTCTACCACTGGAACCCACACATCTGGCTTTCTGCTGGTTAATTGGAGTCCCAAAGACTTGTCTGTCCAGACCCTCTGATCTCAGCCTCCAGCATAACTAGGATTCCAGGCATGAGCCACTGATGCCTGCCTTCTTGTTATTAAAGTCATGGATCATGAGTCACAGACTTGCCTCTCTCTGTGCCAGATTTGTGCTGCCTCCTCCACCCCCTCAATTAGTTGATACCTCTGCTGGCTTTTGCTGGATTGCGGGCTGGACATGTGGAACATCGGTCACTTTTACTTTATGCTTTTGTACATTGGAGCAGCTAAAATGCTTATTATTATAATGCCAAGTTATTTTTCTGCTAGGAAGGATGACGGAATACTTACTGTCATAATTCAGCCTAGAGACTGAGACCTCAGTAAGTGTATAAGTGTGTAAGTGTGAGGCCAGGAGGCCTGGCTCAGCAGCCCTGGGAAGCCATTCTTTGGAAGTGATTTTTGGGGCCCAGATGGCTGCCTTGGATATCATGCAAGTCATTCCCTTGAGGAAGGGTGCACCTCCTCAAGGATGTCTAGAAACTATAGGGCAGTAACAGAAAGCAGAAATGGGGTTTCTTAATGCAGGTGGGTCCCTCCCAGGGGTTCAGCCTACTGAGAATGGTAAGGAGCAATTCATGGATCACTACAATTCAGAGTATCACTATTCCCTGACAGACCCAGAAGTGCTGGCATGTCACCCTGCACACTGCTGAGCCCCCTGAGCACAGTCCCTGCTTAGTGTCTGGGTGGGAGGATGTCTGAGGGACTGCTTGTTCCTTGTCTGTCCTTGTCTGACTCTACCCAGGCTACTGAGGAAGGGGTCCCCAAGACAGAACCTGTAACTCACGGGAGGAGTAGATGTGGCCGGGCATCCTGGTGTTTGCTGAGCTCCTTCCTGAGACCTGGCCTGGGTACACATATACTTACTGACTTATCCCTAAAACAGGACTGTGGAGAACAGACTTGAACCAACCTCTCACCCTAGAGTCCAGTTTCATCTATCTCCATTCTGCAACCCTATTCTGGGGCAGGTCGGGGAAGGCCCATCCCAACACCATTCAGCCTGCTGGTGTTTGCCAGTCCATCCAGTATAAGGTAGCATCTGAGGACTTGGCATTTCTGATTACTGAGAGGCCTGTGTGTGTGTGTTCATGTGTCCATACAGGGCTTGATCTCTCGACCTTAAGCTGTTGACCCAGCTTATGTGTGTGCATATGTGCCAGTACTGGGGCTTGAATTCAGTGACCTTATGTTCTCATTTGGCTTCTTTTGCTCAAGACTAGTGCTCTACCATTTGAGCCATAGCTCCACTTCCAGCTTTCTGCTGGTTAATTTTTTTTGGGGGGAGGCGGGGGGAGAGTTGTGGGGCTTGAATTCAGGGCCTGGGCGCAGTCCCTGAGCTTTTTCACTCAAGGGTAGTGCTCTATCATGAGCCATGGCTCCACTTCTGGTTTTCTGGTGGTTAATTGCAGAGTCTCATGGATTTTCCTGGCTGAGCTGGCTTTGAACCACAATCCTCAGATCTCAGCCTCCTGAGTAGCTAGGATTATAGGTGTGAGCCACCAGCACCCTGCCTCTCCCCCCCCCGCCCCCCCCCCCCCGCACACGTTGGTTTGTAGGAATTCTTTTGCCATTTCAGGTATTAGTCCCTTTTGTTTTAGATGTAACAAAACTCTTCATCCACTACTACAGTCCAAAACCCCTTAGTCTGCAGGGTATTTGTGAAGCCAGAGCTCTTTAAGGAGATGTGGCAGCACCTGTGAGCCAGTGCGCCTGTCTGCCGTTCATTATTGCTCCCAGGTGTGCACAGGGACGCTCACTGAACCTCAGATCAGGTTCCCTGATGGCTGCCACTGTCTTGGACCCTGGCCAACCACCAAATGAACAAACAGAAGCATGGCAGGCCAGTCCCCACAGTCACACTGTCACTGTGAGCCCTTCCAGTACATGCCCTGCACTCCACACTGCTTTCACCCCCAGCCACAGCACCTTGCTAGGCTCAGGCCCTGCCTCCTGGGCCCTTGCACATGATGGTTCCTGAAGATGCCAGGAAACAGGGCAGCACAGAGGCTGCCCAAGTCACCCACAGGATTGGAGGTGACAGCCCATCCCGGTGGCACTCATAGAGGCAGCATTCAGAAGCCTAGACATAGCTTTATTCTCTAATGTGCGCACAGTGAGTTCCTTACATAATCAAGGAAATGGTTTTCTCTCCTGGGCATCAACTCTTTTATCAAAAGAAAATCCACCCTGCTTAGTCCCACCCTGGGCAATGTTCTTGACCCAAAGCTAAAGGCTAATGGGGAGAGTGGTGAACACACACACACACAACACTAAACCCCACAATGCCCAGGTACCACAGCCCTGGAAAACAGCTGTGAGAACACACAGCCACAACCTGGACACCCACATCTCCCTACATAGCCACAGAGCCAGCCTGGGAGGGTGGGGAGAGTTGGTGAAGGGGAGTGGCCAGGGCCTGCCAGTCAGGGTCTATACTCAGCATCCATGGCATCCAAGTATTTGGCTTCGATAATTTGGGGCAGCAGTTTGTAGCTGCGGGAAGAAGGAGGTGTGAGAAGATATGAAGTGAATGGTCAGAGGAGAAAGCAGCAGGCACCCACCTCTACTCTCCCCCCCCCCCCCCGCAGCACTGGGCTGGCCTCCCTGCCCTCTGCATCTGTCTGCTCATACCGAATGGGGATCATGGCAATCATGATGAGCGGAAAGATCATCTTCAGGTAGGGCAGGGAGCTCATGCCAAAAGCACAGAGCAGCAGCAGCTGCAGGATCTGCAGGCCTGTGAAGTAGTGGATCTTCCTCTGAGGTACCCTCCGGATGTAGTGTGTGGGTGGATATGATGTCTATGGGCAGCAATGGCCAGATGTAGGTAGGAGTGGCCAGATCCCCCATCCCACTTCCTCCCCAGGCTAAGAACTCACTTGCTCCTTGAGCAGCAGGGCCACACGTGAGAAGAGCTGGTTGCCATCCAAGGAGGTGAGTGCAATGTAGAGGAAGAGGCCATAGAGCACGGGCTTGGAGATGTACTGCAGCGGCAGAGGCAGCAGCAACAAGGAGAGACCCACCAGGATACTGGCACCCAGCGAGGTCAGCCGAGTCTCCTTCACATTCACAATCCTGCAAGCCACAAGGAAAAGGCCACACACCCACCTCTGGCCACTGTCATTGGACCTTTTTCCTCCAAGTCACATCTCTCTCCCTAGATTATGTGGCCCAAGACTCTCTTGCTTCAAGCCTACATAGCTCTTGCTCCCAAGTCTCTGGGTGGCCACACAGATACACACACACACACACAGACTCACGTCTCATGAATGAGCCCGTTCTCCACGCTATCTTCTACTGACGCCAGGGCTCTCACATGCAGTGGGGAGTGGGGGTAGGCAGCGTGGATCCAGGGCAGCCCAAACAGAGACAGTCCTGTGTTGATGATGGCCAGCAACAGGAGATCCCAGTGGTAGGCAGTGCCCTTCACCAGTCTGCCGAAGACAGGCATACATGGACAGAGCCTCTCTGGCCCTGAGAAGCCTGGATAACTCCCTCGCTCCACCCTCCCCAGCTCCATACCTGTTCTCTGGTGCATTGACCAAGGCTGCTACTAGATTCTGCTCCACAAAGAAGAGCAAGGAGAGCAGGAAGCCAAGGATCATGGTACTGCCAATAGCCTCCAGGGACAGCAAGTGCATCTGTGCTAGCTTGAAGAGGTTTCCGCTGGGGTTGTAGCTAAACTTGCTCACTGCAACAGGGGACAGGCTCCTGCTTAGCTTGCAGCCCCCAGGGAATAAGCCCGTGCTGCCCTCTCCTCCCCTCCCCCGGTCCCCCTCACTCTCAGGCCCCAACTCACTCTCAACTTCCCGGAAGCAAGAAGAGCTGATGAGGGTGCAGCAGAGCACAGCGATGGGCAGGGCGCAGTCAGACAGGACCTCACGCACGCGGGGATGCAGGTAGGGACTAGGGACAACTGGCATATGAGTATGGTCTGGGGACCAGTTAGCTGTGACCCTGACCCCTGCCCTCTCCCCCCCCCCCCCCGGGGGCCAGCCTCACCTCTTCTTGAACTGGTAGAGGGTGTAGCCCAGCCAGAGCGTGCCCAGCATGATGAGGAGGCTGAGGATTGCGGTTGCCCGGTCCGGGTGTGTAGTGCTAGAGTGGTCTTCCTCCACTAACTGTGGGGGTCTGTCCAGGAGGCTGCTGTTGAAGGTACTGTTGAGGGTGCCATTAAGGCTGGTGCTGAGGCCCAGCAGGTTCACCAGGGATGAAGTCCTTTTTGTCTGGTAGCCATGACCATAGTAGTACTTCCAGAAGACTGTGGAACAGGCCAACAAGCCTCAGTCATCTGAGCTCTGAGGTCGGAGCCCAGCTTCCTCCTGGATGGGGAGGGAGAGCACCCAGGAGAGGGAGACAGAGTGAAAAGGGGGAGGGTCCTGAAGAGAGAGGGTCTCTGGAGGTAGAGGGGAAAAGGAAGAGAGCTCTAGCCTTGTGTCATCCAATACCCATTTATTGACCTGCCCATCTAACTCCATCCCCACACTTCTGACACCGATCGATCATGCCTGGCCCAGTGCCTCTTCCCCCATCTCTAGGCATGTGAGGGGCAGCCTTGTTACCCTTCAGCATGTAGGGCTGCTGCGCTCTCTGCTCTGCCCCTCACAGTTCACAAAGCTGTGAGCTCCACACTGACCATGGGAAGAAGCAACCTTAGCCCCACCCCATCTCCTCTGCTCCATCAGGCCACTGTCTAGAGCTTTCCATCCCAGCTTAGTTCCCTCTGTAGCTGGCTTGCACTCACTTTTGTCCATGCCCTTGACAGCATCTAGCACGAATGTAATGGAGATGAACAGGGCAATTATCTCCTCCATCGACCTGCAGGAGGTGATACGCCTCATAAGATAGGGCTGTTACTAGGGAAGAGTAAGTCTCCTTGAAACTGCAGAGACCACCCACCCACACAAATGCAGAGGACCAGTGTCTCAGGCCCAATGAGCCTGCCATAGCCCCTTGGGAGAGCACTGCATCCCTCTCAGGGTTACAAGAATGCAAGAGGCTGATCCAGATGCCTGGCCTTGAAGGATCCCCAACAACTCAGGAAGAGCCAGTCACCTCTTGAAGAGACTCATGACCAGGCTGAGGTTGAAGAAAGCATACAGTGTGAGGAAGAAACTGTTCCACAGGCCTGTCCACGCATAGAAGGAGTGGAAATCCAAGTTGTAGTCGTCACAGATGACACGGATCACTACAAGCAGTGGGGTAGGGTGGGCGGTCAGAGCTCAGCTTGGATCCGGAACCTCAAGCACCATCTCCCACTTCAACCCCCACTGCACCCTGGATGTAGATGGCCAGGGGCGCGGTTGTCAGTAATATCACCAGCGGCTGCCCGGAGAAGAGCGCGTACACAAGGCCTCCGATGCTCTGCCCGGCTATAGTCTTCTGCACATCTGTCAAGAGAGATGGGAAGGTCAGCTGCGCAGTGTAGCCTGTGAACTTGCCCAGCACACCTTTGCTAGTCACCAGCACCTCACCAATGGCTCCGTTGGTGTTCTCATCATTGAAGGATCCAAAAGCAAGTGTAGGCAGGAGGCAGGCAAAGTAGAGGAACAGGGTGGTGGTGATGTGTTTGCATACAACTTTGTTTTTCCCAATAATGCCTAGGAATGGAGGATGGGGCAGGATTGTCAGAAATGAAGGATGGGCACACATGTGGTCCCGGGGTCTGAAAAACTAAATTCTGGGCCACATACCATCAGTGAAGTCCAATGGGTACACGGGAAGCCTACGCATGATGTCCTCCCTGATGCCTTTCCCAAATCGCAAGAAGTCCTTGAACGTAGGGGGCTGGGGAGAAGACAGTACTTATTAGCCCCAGCTGGCCCATGACCTCTGCCAAGCAAGTCCACCTCTCTTCTGTACCTTTGGATGTTTGTGAGAAGGAAGGGAGATCATGCTGTAGTCCCATAATGATGGCATCGCCATAGTGAGCTGTTGCCGCTGATGCACCAGGGCCTCCTTGAAATCCTCCTCCGTGTGGGTCATCAGGAGCTTCTGTCGGAAGGTGATGTCCGAGAACATGGTAGCAAATGTGCGTGCCACCTCCATCGCTGTCTTGGTGCTTTTCTGGGGTTGAAGGATATGAGGGTCACATCTGCAGCCCCTATACAGTAGAGAAGGCCCCGCCTCCCTCTCCCAAGCACAGGCGCTTGCAAGCAGATGCTCCCCTGTGAACTGGCAGCAGCAGGTTCAAACCTTAGTACTGCAGAAAAAGAATTCCTTTTCAGTTAAGGAAAAACCTTTTGAGCAACTTCTAGGGAAATTTAGATGTAACAGAAATGTAAACGATCAGGTATGAGAAGAAGGCTTTAGAAATTTTATAAATAAAAATAAAAAATATATATTTAAGCCGGGCGCTGGTGGCTCACGCCTGTAATCCTAGCTACTCAGGAGGCTGAGATCTGAGAATCGCGGTTCAAAGCCAGCCCGGGCAGGAGAGACCGTCAGACTCCTATCTCCAATAAACCACCAGAAAACTGGAAGTGGCGCTGTAGCTCAAGTGGTAGAGCACTCGCCTTGAGCTGAAGAGCTGAGGGACAGGGCCCAAGCCCAGAGTTCAAGCCCCACGACCGACAAAAAAAAAAAAAAAAATATATATATATATATTTAAAAAAATAAAGCATTTAGAAATGTTTTCAAGAGGGTCTGGGGATGTGGCTTACTGGTACAATGCTTGCCTAGCATGCATGAAGCCCTGGATTCAATTCCTCAGTACAACATAAACAGAAAAAGCCAGAAGTAGCATTATGGCTCAAGTAGTAGAGTGCTAATCTTGAGCAAAAGAAGCTCAGGGACAGTGCCCAGGCCCTGAGTTCAAGCCCCAGGACTGGCAAAAAAAAAAAAAAGAGGGCTGGAAGGTGGCTCAGTGGTATAGTGCTTGCCTTGCATGCATGAGGTTCGATTCCTCATCACCACATAAGCAGAAAAAGCCAGAAGTAGTGCTATGGTTCAAGTGGTAAGGCGCTAGCCTTGAGCTGAGGAGCTGAAGGACAGCACCCAGAGTTCAGGCCCATGACCGGACCACCCCCCCCAAAAAATTTTTTTAAAAAGAAAGGAAGAAATGCTTTCAAGAAGACCTTACTCCCCAGAAAGCAGAGCGACCCCAAGACCTGAACTCACCATCTTGGGTGGAGCCAGCACCAGGATGACAAAGCGAACCTCACAGGAGTTTTCCCCCCAGTTCTGTGGGCGAACTAGGCGGCTGATGCACACATGCCTCCTATGTAGGTCTTTTAAGGTACAGCTGGTAGGGATAGAACACACAGGACACTGATAGCACCGGCAAAGGCTGCAGCTCCCAGTTACCCAGAACCCCTAGCTGTAGCCTCTATTAGGAAGGAAAAGATGACCAAATAGGATAGAGTGCTTAAACCTCCTCATCCCGAATAGGGCTGTGTCACTTGAGGGCCATCCTCTGCAGGGATATGAGATGCCTAGATCCAGAGTGACCAGTGGTAGCTGTCTCCTGGCAACTCACATGATGCAGAGCCACGACTGCTGGTACTGCACCCCTGTGACCGTGGCAGTGACTCCTTGAATGGTATCTGACAGCAGATGGGCTGAAGACAACAGTGGAGGGAGAAGGAAGCAGGGTCAGCCAGTCCATCAGCAAACCTCCTCTTGCCAAAGTAGAGAGGTAGGTCTTACCTTTACCCTCCATGGGGTTCTCAGCATCCGTAAAGAGCTTGGCCATGAGCCGGTCCAAGTTGTATTTTGGTTCTGCGTGGTTGGGGTCCTGGGTGAAGCATTTTAGCATGGTTCGCAGCACTTCATCCAGAGAGGTGGCTGTTTCATCCAGGATGATGCTGGCCTGGGCCAGGAAGCGATCCAGGTCTCGCTGTGCACGGATTTCTTCCTCGAAGTTCTTTAACTTCAGGTACTATGGGGCATCCAGGGTCAGAACCACACAGGTCTGTGTTTGACACTACTGTCTTTGCCTAGGCAATGGTGGTCTCTGGCTGCTCTTGCTCACTGGGCCCAAAACCTCCTACTAAATGGGAACGCTCAGCCTTGAGTTAGTTTAAAATCTCTGCTTAGGCTGGGTGTTGGGGGCTCACACCTGTAATCCTAGCTACTCAGGAGGCTGAGGTGTGAGAATTTTGGCTCCAAGCCAGCCAGAAGATTCTTATCTCCAATTAACCAGCAAAATGCTTGAAGTATAGTGTGACTCAAGTAGTAGAGCTCCAGCCTTGCTTGGAAAAAACTAAGCAGGAGTGTGAGGCTATGAATTCAAGTTACGCTACTGGTGCGTGTGCATGCATACACACACATACACACACACACACATCCCTGCTTGGAAACTTCTGGAGACAGTGGCAGAGGGAAACAGCTTGGGGACTCTAAGAGAAGCAGCTCTCTCCAACTAGAGACCCCAAGACTTCCCAGGTCAGGTCAGGCCCTCACCTTGCGAGAGGTGTGCAGGAGCATGCAGCCGCCAGTGGCCATATCTAGAAAAATGGAGAAAAGCTCAGAGTGACACCACAACTGTTCAGGTCTCACTTGATAGAGCAGGGCTGTATCTTCCCAGGCCCTTACTCCCCCCAGGCCTGTCCCTCCTGAAAGTTTCATACCAGGTTTGGCAGACTGCATGTCAAGATTGACATTAACAAAAAACCGGACACTTTCGCCAGACACAATGGAGGAGTTGACCGTGTCAAAGGTCTCATCCCGCAGGTTCTCATCTCGAGCTTTGGAGATATCCGTGTCATTCTTGAAATAGTTCAGAGATGCAGCTGTCACCAAAAGACACCCAAGAGAGCTATCAGTGCTGTTCACCAGGAGGGCGATCACAAGAAACAGGCTCCCCTGGAATGTCCAGCTAGACACAGTGCCTAGTGAGGGCTCCCACACACCTCAGGAAGGGAGCCTCAGCCCAGGGAGGCAGAATTTCTGGTCCTGCCTGGTCTTACTCATGGCAGCAGCAGGTACACAGAGCTGGAGTCCCCCTGTGACATTCCCAGCTATAAGAACCAAGTTTCTGCGCTGTCAATACATCCATTCCACAGGCTAAGCCCAGGGTACATGGTGTAGATAAGACTGTCTGGCCTCTGTCCCCCAGAATGCCCAGGCTATGGAACTCAAGAGAAGGCAGAGCAACTGAAGTTTCCAGATAAACCCCTATCTCTGGGTGCTCTGTTAACACAGAGCTTAAAGCCCCTGCCGCCAGAGAGGGCAGGTGGAGTCTCATCTAGGCTGAGACCTGGGAAGCAGGAAGAGTCAGAGAAATAGAGGGAGGAAGCTTCATCTCAGCCCTGCTTCTCATCACATGCAGGACCCCAGAGCTGCCCCCAATGACTGCAGCTGCCCCCATCTTCACCATCAGGCCTCGTCCTATACAAAGACTTCCTGCCCGGCACCAGTGGCTTATGCCTGTAATCTTAGCTACTCAGGAGGGTGAGATTTTAGGATTGGGATTCAAAGCCAGCCTGAGAAGGAAAATCCAAGAGACTCTTATCTCCAATTAACCACCAGAAAACCAGAAGCCGCTCTAGGGCACAAGTGGTAGGGTGCTAGCCTTGAGCCAAAAAGCTGAGGGGCAGCTCCCAGGCCCAAGTTCAAGTTCCACGACCAAAAACAACAACAACAAAGACTTCCTGATAACATGCAAATGTCCTCTACTCCTGCCCTGAGCCTCAGCTCCCGAGGCCCAGTCCGACTCCTCACCCATCTCTCTTAGGCCAGTCGGATAGTGCTCCAGGCATGTCCACTCTTCTCAGAGGCATCCCTCCCTCCAGGGCCTTCTCTAGGGTTCACTTGGAATGCTCCTCTTCCTCTCCTAAGTGTCCTTCTTCTCTTCTGGCACAGCGGGAACCTCTTTCAGACTGTCCTATACTTACTTCCTCATACATGAGTACTCCTAGGCAAAGGGCCCTTGTTTAGACACAAACGCCCGACCAGCAGTTCACCTACACCTGTAAAGTAGTGACTCACCTGACTCGATTCTACTTCTTCCTACCAGTTTACCTGTACACCCCAGACCTCGTTTCTCCAAATTTCCTGAGCTCAGAGCTTGGTGACTCCCAGTTTCTGGCTTACACTACATCCAGAGCCCAGAGAAAAAAGATTAAGTCAAAGAATGTTCTCCCTGACTTTAGTATTCTAGGCTTGCCTTATTTAAAGCTGGTTAGCCTGCTGTCCATGGCTCACACCTGTGATCCTAGCTACTCAAGAGAACAAGACCTGGGGGGGGGGGGGGGGGGGGGGGGGGGTGGGAAGGTGGCTCAGTGGTAGAGCGCTTGCCTTGCATGCATGAGGCCCTGGGTTTGATTCCTCAGCACCATATAAGCAGAAAAAAAGTCGGAAGTGGCGCTGTAGCTCAAGTGGTAGAGTGCTAGCCTTGAACTGAAGAGCTGAGGGACAGCGCCCAGGCCCAGAGTTCAGGCCCCACAACTGGACCCCCCCTCCCAAAAAAAAAAGAACAAGACCTGGAGGATTGAGGTTCAAAGCCAGGCCAGGAAGAAAAGTCCAAGGGCTACTTCCTCCAATTAACCAGCAAAAATGGCTGGACTCAACATATTGTTCAAGTAGTACAGCATCAGCTATGAGCAAGAAAGTTGAGCAAGAGATTGAAGACTTGATTTTAAACCCCGGGGCTAGCACAAAAAAAATCAAGACCAAAAAAATACCTGGGCTGGGAGCCGGTGGCTCACGCCTGTAATCCTAGCTACTCAGGAGGATGAGGTCTGAAGATCATGGTTCAAAGCCAGCCCAGACAGGAAAAGTCCGTGAGACTCTTATCTCCAGTTAATCACCAGAAAACCAGAAGTGGTGCTGTGGCTCCAGTGGAAGAACATTTGCCTTGAGCTGAAGAGCTCAGGGCAGCACCCAGGCCCAGAGTTCAAGCCCCACGACCAGCAGTGGGGGTGGGAGGACAAAAACCTGGTTCCACCAATACCAACTCATCCCAGTCTGCCTTCTGCCACTCTTCCCAACACCACTACTACCCATGCTGCCTTTTTTCTGTATGGCTCCTGCAATGCCATCCTACAGCTAACCTGATCACAGCAAGCAGCCGGGCACACAGAGCCCCTGGGGAACCCAGGGTTAAGAGCACACCATCACTGTTCCAACACTGGGCTGGGCAGAGGACAGGCAAGACTGCACCAGCCTAGAGACTTAGGAAAGGACAGATTAAGAGGAGACAACTGATGCCCAGGTCTGATTTTCTTAAAGGTCAATTGCAGTGCTAGGTGGGGACTGAGAAATAAGGGAATGTACAACATATGGCTTAATACTGCCCAGACACCTGCCACCTAACAGTGAACCACAGCCACGAAGAGTAGAAGTGGCTGACTGCCCAGACCTCAGCACCCCCAGACCTCTGCTGGCATCAAGTTCCAAAGCATTTGGGCACCAGCCCTGGGCCACACAGGTAGCTAAGACCAGGAGTATGCAGGTCCCTAAAGGCATTTAATCAAGGAGCTCTCTCTGCACTCACCTAAGTCTTCACTGGAATCCTCAAGGAACCCGTTCTGTGACACAGTGGAAGCTTGTGACATGGTGGAGGAGTTTTCTACAAGGAAAGCCAAAGTCTTGTGACCAGCTCCATACCAGCAACCTACCCCACCCCAAGTCACTGAGAGGTGATAGAGGGACACTCGGCAACAATAATAGGGAGGAGGCCCCAATGGAACCAGGAAAAAACAATCCTAATTGAAGAGATTAAATTCCTCCATCTAAAGCCAGAGGGGATGGTGGCTGACACCTGTAATCCTAGCTACTCAGGAGGCTGAGATCTGAGGATCCTGGTTGGAAGCTAGCCCAGGCTGGAAAGTCCATGAGACTCTTATCTCCAATTAACTACTCAGAAAAAGCTGGAAGTGGTGCTGCCACCCATGTGGTAGAGCACTAACCTTAAACAAAAAGAAGCTCAGGGACAGTGTCCAGGTCCCGAGTTCAAGCCCCACACCGGCACACACACAAAAAAGGAAATAAAAGCCCATCTCTTCTGCTTCCCTCCTGATCCCCTTTCCCTTCACCCCCCGACCCCCTGCCGGGGGAAAGCGGGTGGGGGGTGGGGGGGTGGGGGGGAGGAGGGCAGCCCCGGGGCGCCAGGAAGGCGGAGCCGAGAGTCAGGCGGGAGGAGGGGCGGGGTGTGAGAGTGGGGAGCTGGAACGGTGCTGGGCGCGCTCCGCCTCGGGCCCGGGATGGCCGGGCTGTGTGTTCCAGGGGTGCACAGAAGGAAGCACTGGCGGTGCCGCGTGCAGTGGGAGGAAAGAGCCTGGGATTTGCAGCCCCGGGGGTGCTGAGTGCGGGATGCGCAGGGAGCGTACGCGGGACGGGAGACCCGAGGCACCTCCAGAAGGGGCAGTAATGGGGAAAATGGGCAGTGGTCGAGGGGCTGGAGGGAACATCTTTCCTCCCTTCGCGGGACAAAAGTGGGCTCCGGCTGGGGTCCCGCGGCTGCCCCGGCGGAGTGCCAGGCCGGACGTAAGGGGATCTCAACCCCGGCGACCGACAGCGCAGCTGGCTCGGCAGCATCCCGGGCGCCTCACATCCTGGCCACTTCTGAGCCCCCCCGCCCCTCCACCGAACTCAGCACTCGTTCAAACAGGAGGATTAAAACCGAGGGCTGTGCGTTCCACGCGGCGCGCTCTGTCCACCGGGCGCCCTCTTCCCCGTCCCGCCAGCGCGCACCCGCCCGGACTCGGGGACCCCTGCCCAGGCTGGGGGGCTCCCCTGGCCGGCGGGGTCCGGCGTCCCTGCCGCGCCCTCTCCTCGAGGACCGGTTCTCACGTCCACAGCCCGGCTGCGACGCTACTCGTCTGGTGGCCGTGGCCGTGACCCCGGCAATTGGCCGCCAGGTGGCTGCGCACGCGCACCCACAGGGGGCTCCTCACCCGGCTCTTTGAGGCCTGTCACACTCGGTGTCCCCCCCCCCACCCCCGCACTCCACCGGCGGGAGCCGACGGCATACCCCCCACCACCACCCCGTGGCCTCGCCGGGGTCCTAATGCCGCTCCGGCGGCCTCGCCAGGCCACGGGAGGCCAAGCCACCAAGGGCGGAGTCCACGCTGGCCCGCCCGCCGCCCCCCCTCACCCGCGAACGCGCAGCTCCCGGGGACCCACGGCCACTTAGCCAGACCTTGTGGACCCGGCTCGCACGCGCCTGCCCAAGCGTCGCGGGGTCGGGGCTGGGACGTAGCTGGGGGAAAAAAAGCTTGGGTGAGCTCAGAGACGCGGAGAGCGGGGGGCACTGGCGAGGCTTCTGCTTTAAATGCGCCGCCGGCTCCCGCCCACAGGCTGGGGGCGTCCTCAGGCCACGCCCCCTCCGGCCCCACCCTCTCCATTCATCTCGCTGGCTCCGCCCTCAATCGCGGGCTCCTTTCTCTTAATTCCACTCCTCCAGCCCCGGCGATTGAACTAACTTGACGCGGCCCGGCGCACCTTCCCCGGCTTCCGCCTAGGCCCACGGAGCCGCGGGCCGACGCACCTTCTCCGGCTTCCGCCTAGGCCCACGGAGCCGGTTCCCCCTTCCCGCTCCGCGGCGTCGGGTTTGCTGGCCGTGCGCCTCCCAAAATGGCACCGCCGCCCCGGGTCCCTCCCTAGACATGCAGGCGCAGGGTTGGCTTGGAGAGATGTGCGCGCACACGTTTGTGCAGTTGAGTGTTAGGAGACCTTGGTGCGTTGCACTGGGTTCTAGCCAGTCCTACCGCTACGGTGAACCCCTGGCCTGGCCCGTTCCATGGTGGCTCCTCGGTAAATGATTCTACAGCCCTCGGAGCCCAGATTGTCCCCATGCACACACTTTCTCTCCCCAGCAAAGCGCTATTCCCCTACAGCCTCTACACTGGGGTCCCTTGGGCCAAGGGTGCATCTCTCTGCGCAGAGACTGCATCCAGGGCTCCTTGTGCATTAGCAAGAGTCTTGGTGTAAGTGTAGTGCCCGACATCCAAAGACTGCCCGAGGGGATCAAGGACAGCCCCAGTGCACCGTCCCTCCCCCCCCCCATGTGCCTGGAGGCCTTTTGCCAATGACTGCTCCTAAAGACGTGGGCAACTGAATTGCGGGCGGGCAGCCACATTCGGAGATGGCTGCGTGCTTGTTTTCTTGAGGTAAGTAGCCACTGAGAGGGGCTGTGCACCCATCCAACCCACTTTGGGACCTTTTCCAGACTTTAAGGTAGAGCTCTAGGCCAAGACTCCCAGCTTCATAATTACGTGAAGCTGAAGGACAGGTGGACAGCGCTCAGGGAGGGAGATGGGCGTAAGAGTGAAATACCCTCCCCCAGTCTTCTTCCATCTGAGGTCTTCTCCTGCCTCCCAGCAGCTCCCAAACACCTGCTGGTCCTTTCAACCCTGTTGTTCCAGAACAACACCTGGGATTGGAGAAGCAACACCTAAATCCCCTTGGTTTTCTACTCCCTTATCAGAGGAATCAAGAGGACCTTGCCCCTTAGCCTGAGGATGGAAGAGAAGCTCAGAGCAAATCCCCCTCAAGGGGGTGTCTGTGGTCCACTGGGCACCTTTCTTGTGTGGCTCTCAAAAGAACTCAGCATCTACCTCTTCCAGCTAAAGCCTCCTGTGCCTTATACACTGGAGGCTAAGGGCAAAGTCAGATGCCTGAGATCTCCTGCCTGGATCTCACCATTTTTTAGAAATTATCTGTAGTTGTAAAAAGTGGTTACCATTCAACAAATTAGTTTATAAGTAGAATGCATCTTGATTGATGTCATCCTTCGCATCATCCCTCTCAACCCAACCCATTTCCTCAAGGCCTATTGGCACAAGCAAGCTGAGGGACCCAGGCAGAAGAATGTGGACCTCTCCCATTTCCTCTCTTGGGACCTCTGACCTCCCTGGGCTGTAGACATCAAACCATGTCCACTGGATTCCACCAGACACGCAACACCTGTGTCAAAGGGCCTCCTGCTCATTTTGGGCTTTGCCTGCCACTTAATTTGCCTGTAATTCAAATCTGGGGTAAGGAGTGACTGTGTAATCAAAATAAATACTAAACCATTTCCTGGGCACTAGTGGCTCATGCCTGTTCATGAGTCAGGAAGCTGAGATCTGAGGATTGCAGTTCAAAGCCAGCCTGGGCTGGAATGTTCATGAGACTCTTCCAATTAAGCACCAAAAGGCCAAAAGTGGAGCTGTGGTTCAATTGGTAGAGCATCAGCCTTGAGCACCCAAGCCCTGATTTCAAGCCCCCAGTATCCACCCAATAAACAAATATTCCCATCCATTTCTCAGCCACAATTTTTGTTGTTTTAAGACAGGGTCTCACTATGTAACTGAGGTTGAATTCAAGATCCTCCTGCCTCAGCCTAAGTGCTGCAATTACACTGTAGAGAAAACTGCTTCAAATATCCCCCTCCCTGTGTTCCTCAACCCACTCACAGCTGTCTTTTGGCCCCCTCCACTGGCAAGAGACTACTCTCCACCAGCTCCCTGGTTGGGCTTTCTTGCCCAGGAAAGAAAGGCAACAGGACACAGCACCTTTGTGGGGGGACTTTGCCTCCCACTCCCTTCTAAGAGCTTCCTGGTATTTTCCTTTACCTGTGGTTGGTGGTGGCTGACTCAAATTTCCTAACTCCTGTCACTGAGCTCCAGAGTCACAGCCTAGTTACCTCCCACCCCAACAGACCCAGATGGCTAATACACAAATCCAATGAAATGCATGCAAATAGGATTCCTGACTCTACCATCCACCCAGCTGCTCCAGACATGGGAATTCCATTGTTCTGACTCATCTACATTGAATCCCTATTCAGGCAAGTGTTGTTGCCTTGACCTTCCAAATAGCACCCACCCCCTTGTACTCCAGCCTGGCCCTTCTTCTGTCCTGGTTGTGCTTGTCCCCTGAACCCTCACGAACCATTATTCCTCATCAATGGTTTCTTACTCATTGAGAGAGAAAGACAAGGGAGGAGGGGAGAGGAGGAGAGAGGGAAAGAGACTGAGATTGAGCACAGAGGGTTGGTGGCTCTAACCTGTTAATTCAAGCTGTTAATTAGTTCTAGGAGGCTGATATCTGAGGATTTCAGTTTGAATGCCAGCCCACACAGGAAAGTCTGTTAGACTTCAATTAACCACCAAAAAACCAGAAGTGGAGGTGTGGCTCAAGTGGTAGAGCACTAGCTTATTTTTTGTCAATCATGGGGCTTGAACTGGGGGCCTGGGTGCTGCCCCTGAGCTCTTGTGCTCAAGACTAGTGCTCTACCACTTTGAGCTACAATGCCTCTTTCAGTTTTTTGATGGTTAATTAGAGATAAGAGTGGGGGGCTGGGAAGGTGGCTCAGAGGTAGAGTGCTTGCCTTGCATGCATGAGGCCCTGGGTTCGATTCCTCAGCACCACATAAGCAAAAAGAAAAAAAGCCGGAAGTGGCGCTGTGGCTCAAGTGGTAGAGCACTAGCCTTGAGCTGAAGAGCTGAGGGACAGCGCCCAGGCCCAGAGTTCATGGCCACAACCTGACCCAAAAAAAAAAAAACACAAACAAAATAAAATAAATAGGAAGTGATGCTGTGGCTCAAGTGGTAGAAATAAATGGGGGAAAAAAAGAGTCTCACAAACTTTCCTGCTCAGGATGGCTTTGAACTGTGATTCTTAGATCTCAGCCTCCTGAGTAACTAAGATTATAGGCATGAGCCACTGGCAGCTGGCAGAACTCATCAGCTATGAGTGAAAAAGGTAAGGACAGCATGCAAGCCCTGAGTTCAAGCCCTAGGACCAGCATGTACGCACACAGACACACACACAGATACACACACACACACAGAGTGGTCTAAAGCATGACAATCCATCAGAAGTAAGGTGAAGTAATAAATGGTGTGTGCACGTGTAATATAAGTTCCTATATCTTCATAGGATGCATGTTCACAGGTGCTATCTACACTAGAGCTAGCAGGGGTCTAATACTTGGTTTAGCTAAGTAACTTGAAAATCTGTGATGAAAGCAAGTAGTTTACTCATTTTTCCCTTCAGTTTTATTCCAAGGGAACAGGGAACTCCTGCTTTTCAGAGATTCAACAATAACCTGCTCCCCTGAGGATGACATCGCTATGGCCCTCCCCACCCCCAAAGCTGCACTCTGTCAGCATCTATTACTAGCAGAAATCTATAGGCTCTCAGGTCACTGATTTCATCTGGGCAGGAAGGTTCCAGGGCTGTCCCACTGCCCTCATGACCTGAGTTCTAGCTCCACAGCTCAGCTTCTCAGCCAATACGCATCTGATAGACAGACCCAATGAAAACTTGACCTAGTTTTGTCCAGCAGGTGTTGAGGCAAATGCCACAGGTCTGGGCTCCAACTTCACCTTTCTTTGTCCTTAAGAGTTTTTGCTCAAGGCTGGTACTCTACCACTTGAGCCACAGCTCCATTTCTGGCTTTTTGATAGTTAATTGGAAATAGTCTCATAGACTTTTCTGCCTGGGCTGGCTTTGTGCCATGATCTTCAGATCTCAGCCTCCCAAGAAGCTACAATTACAGAGGCATGAGCCATCACTGGTGCCAACTTTGCCTTTCATCTAACCCCTCCTTACCTCATTGGAATGCCATACCGGCCACTGGTGGAATTCCAGCTGGAGACCCCCAAGCCCTCTGGATGGCTTATCACCTCTAGGCCATCCTTGGCTAGTCTATGTCCATTTGGTATCACCCTCCCATCACTTCTCTTTTTTACTCTTATCCCTAGCTCTCCTTCTTACTGGTCATTTGTCCTGGTCACCAGTTTACAATCCAGAGCTGAGGCTTCCTAAAGCCTTATTCAGACCACCCTTCACACTAGCTTCAAACCTGTCAGGATGCTGGATGCACATGGATTGGGGGAGACACTGGAGAGGTCCAAGCAACCTGTTGGGTAAGATTTCTACTCTTTCTAGGTATGGAATTATTTTTATCTATAAAACAAAGAAGTGAGTCTTTTGCCCCCATTTTTTGCATTGGAAGCAGGAAATGTTTCTCCTTTTCCTCGTATTTCTCCCTATTTTTATCTTTTTTTTTGGGGGGGGAGTCCAGTTGTGGGCCTGAACTCTGGGCCTGGGCGCTGTCCCTCAGCTCTTCAGCTCAAGGCTAGTGCTCTACCACTTTGAGCCACAGCACCATTTCCGGCTTTTTTTTCCTGCTTATGTGGTGCTAAGGAATCGAACCCAGGGCTTCATGCATGCAAGGCAAGCGCTCTACCACTAAGCCACCTTCCCAGCCTCCTATTTTTATCTTGTTCTACT